TCCCTATTATGTAAAAAGAAAAAGTGTAATTTCTTTCATATATTACCTATACGATGCCCCATGATGTAAACATACCGCACCGTTCTTGCATGAATGGCGAATGCATTCATTACGATTGCATTCACCTACGCCACGGCCGGTGGCAGGACTAGAACCAGTCAGTGGAAGAATTGTCGTGTCTGTACGCAATTCAACGTCAAATATACATCCGGAAAAGCCGGTATGAAGAGGGAGGTCGTGCGGCAATGTTTCAAAGTTTCTAGATTTATAACCACCTGAAAAAGAATAAGAAAAATGTCCTCTATATATTTTTATTCATTTATCTCCATTTCATGTTAAGTATTATTTTATTTCAATCTCCTATTCATCCGAGATGTCTAGATTGTATTTAATGTCAACATCAGATGAATAAGAATTGAATAGCTACATTTAGCGTAAAATATATGATAACAGACGATTGGAGTGTTGACATTATGCCAAATGTCAAATCACGCTTGTCTCTGCAACAACGTACCGATATAGAGAACAGGCGATACATCGAGTTGAGTCATAGATCCTACTGCCTGACCAGTCACGTTTTTGAGACCCTCTACAGCAAGCCACGCTTCCTTGCCTCTCCTTCCGATTCGAAGAGTATACGTTTTACTTTTACCAACCGATCCTGTCACGCTCAGAGAGGTCAACGAATCGCTAGTGAAGATTCTTCGCACTCCTATTAAAAGATTATAATATTGAAATACAATTTCTTTAAACTCTCTATGTCAAAACTTTATATAATTGGATATATAATTCAGTATATATTTTTCTATAAGAAAATTTTTTTTATTCTAGATAGATGCAATGTAAATATAATAAATAGAGCAAATTACAAAATTGCTCATAATATTTGTTATACTTAATAATTATTTCCTAGATAAAAATTTTTTGAACTAATAAATAATCTATATTTATGCGATTATTGTTATTAAAGATATGAAAGATTCTAATTTACATTCATTGATAACTCACCGGAACCCAAATCCCACGTAAGCATAATATAGCCGCGCACAAATGTTATTGAAAGATGGTCCGAAACATCACGGCGCGAGCTTCTCTGTCCGAAGTATGCTATCAGAGAGATTTGATCAAACGTGCGCGGGATGAGTCGCAGCTTCAGTTCCATTGTGTCCTTTATCGAAGTAGACACGCCGTAGGCAATGTACGACGCAAAGCCAGGCACAAGGACCGAGAAAGCCGGCCGCACTAGAATGGCATCTGAAAGAACGATTCGCTTTGTAAGAATTTTGTTGCATTGCGATTTTATTGCATCGCTATCGCATCTATAGAATATCTATTGAATGTTTCATTATTACGATTTACCTTCTTCGCAGAAAAGTCCGCGACTGCCGAGTGGACAGACGCAGATGAAACCAGTTCCCGGCGAGCTTACGCATGTGGCACCCATCGAGCAGGGATTGTCGTTGCACGCCGAATGTTCACACAAAGGTCCAGTATACCTGTAAACAGTTTTTGCTGCTGAGCAGGTTTTTAAAACCTATTGCTTCTACACTAAAATTAATTAATGTTAATCAAAACCATTTTATCTGTAATTTTGCTCTTACTTTCTTTATAATGTTCACACTACTTCCTTTTCATTAGACGTATATAAAGATGTATTAAAGAAGGGGAAAATTTGCGTAAATTAATTTTATTGCTATTTAATAGATATTTACCCCGCTATACATTTACAACGAATTCTTCCATCGCTTTCTTCACACGCGCCGAAATTTTGACATGGATTCGATAAACATAAAAATGATGTGCATTCTTCAATCTGGAACGTTTCTATAGAATCGTGAATAAAATGTCGCATAATTCCGTTTATCTGCAATGTAATCGAAATAATTCTGAGCTATTCTGTATAAAACTAACAAACTTTTTATTGAGAAAGTTTTTAAAATAATTGAACGATTTTGTTAAATCTCCTGGAATGCTGAATAATTTATTTTTTATTATAACAAATTCCTTTACCTTTAGGGAATCCATGCAACCGATGAATCCCATAGCTACGTGAGGAAAATAATGTGAGAACGTTAATGGAATGCCTCCTATGTACAAATTAGCGTATTTTGGAACCATTCCTCGCTGTGGCAGTATTTGCTCGCCGGTTACGGCCATAGTGCCGTTCACCAGCAATTTGGCAAAACATTTTTCGTTTTCATCATTGGCAACATATTGAAAACTGTGTGTGTGTGATAAAGCGAAAAGAAATGTTTCTTTCCTGTTAATTAAAGTTAAAAGAATAATCTAATGCAAATAGAATACCTCATATCGATGCCCACTTCGTATCCATTATCGATAATCGCATCGATTTCACCAAGTAACATAGTTTCTAATCCACAAGAAAACTGGAACTTTAACGATCCGAGTTCCAGGTACACCAAAGAATATCTTTCATTGTCAAAATAAACGTGTAATATAATTCCATTTTTAAATGCCGTTTTAAGTTTAACGTAAATTCGGAGCGTTGCGCTCTTATTCTCAGTCATTATTACTTCGACGCGTTGTCTAACGAAAGATTTGCCATTAAAGGCCGCTTGCGTAATAGTCGAATCTGTCTTGCAACCGTCGGCATACTGAATAACAATTATAATACAGACACATTAACTATTAATGTTTTATTTTGAGAGAAATTTAGTTTTATTTAAATTTTCCATATAGATTGCTTACAAAGATTAGCTAAAAAATCTATAGTTTTAATTTCAAAATTCTTTACAAATTATTTTTTTATTGTTATTTATTATTACTTATTGTTTTTATTGTTTTTATTGTTATATTACATTATTCACTTACTTCAGTAATATTTCGTGGAGTTATGATGGTAGTACTCGTAGAACATTGAGTTCCGCGACAAGCGCCTATTTCTGTAGTATTAACTTCGATACTAGTAACAATAGTTTGACTTAACGAAGATATGCTAGTAGACGTTAACGAGGAAGGTAATGTGGAAGTGTCAAGTTTGATAGTCGAAGATAAGATCGATGGCAGTGTCGATGAGGTAGTTAAAGGTATACCAGTTCTTGGTGTATCCATGATCGTAGTTCCAAATTCAAACGTTCTATTTTGTACGGAATCCGTCGTATATCGAAATGTCGTATCGATGGGAAGTGTTACATCAGTAGCGTGATCCATGATAGCACTTGTGACGCTAGTTCTGTTATCCTTTTGGCCTTCATCTATTGTAGGTCGATAACTAAGAAACGGAACGTATAGTAACATTATTAAATTAACACAAAAATTATGTGAATCTGTGTATAATGAAAAAATTATTGATTCAATCTTTTAAAGAATATATGTTTCGGATATGTTATTGGAAAATTCACTCATGTGATATAAATTGTATCGCTTAGTATTATTGTGA